GATGCCATAGATGGGTGAAACAGACATAGCCTTAAAGCTGTGGGGTTTGGTTAGACAGACGGAAGTGTGGATGCCTGTCTGAACCTAGGGAGGGCCTCACAAGAAGACTCAAAACCCCACCGCCCAAAAAATTCCCCCAAACCTTTCCCAACAGGCTCATTGTACCTGTCATTATCTGCTTGCAAGGAAGGAGACTCTGACCCCCTTTGCTGCTTTCAGGGGAAGAGCACTAGGGCCATTCCCCCTAACATCTTCCATGGGGGAGCAGTAGTATGCGGCTTCTCCCTGCCTCTTTCTCTCACCCCAAGGTGCTCCTGTTTCTCTCCGACCTGAGGTCCTGCCATTTGTCCCCCCTGCTCCATTTCAGTTTATTTTTCGTGTTCACCCAACACCACTGATGCATCTTTGTCCCCACCGCACAACTAATTACCCCCCTGGCTCCACTGCACAAGCCCCTACAGTGAAGCTGTAAAAAAGTGGATGGTCAGCCCCAGGGAGAATTTCTGCCCTCCGCCCCCTAGACTTGCTGGCCAAGCTATGCATTTGCTATGGTTCTATCATCACCTGGAAGGGAGGGGGCCAGGGTAGTGCAGCCACTCTCTGGGGCCATCTGGCTGAATCCTCCCCCAGGCACTCCCAGTGTTTGGGCTGCTCTGCACTTTTGCTGGTGCCTGTGAATGCAGACGGAAAGCAGCCAGGCAGAGCCCTCAATTGGCTTGCCCCGCATTGGCTTACTTCCCCTCTCAAAGGCAGGAGACTGGCATTGTTTACAAAAACAAACTCCTGCGGTGCTCAAGCAGGGGAGCTGGGATGTTGGCTGAGCTTATTCCTTCCTGGAACAGAGTCCAAAACCCAGCAACTGCGCTAGCCAGACAGGGACTATTGAGAACTATGTGTCTGCTAATTAAGGTAATTAAACAGAAATTCTGTGTGGTTTTTGGCAACAATGCCAAAATGTATCTGGCTCAAGATTTAGTTACTTCTAATTTGTTATCCCTATAAGCAGTCTTTTACTATTAGCCCTATCCTGCTTCCACTGAAGTTAAAAGGCAAAACTCCCCGATTTCAATGGGAACCAAATTGGGCCCTAAATGAAAGAGTGGAATTGCTGCTTCGCACCAACCTTCTCTTCTTTCTTCCTGCAGCAAAGTCACAATGCTCTATTTGTAACATCACAATCATTTCTATGGCGACAGACTGTGATGTCACAAACACATGGGTTATAGCCATACCACTTCAGACAGTGATTTCATTGCATCTCCTAAGCTCAGCAGAGTTGGGATTTGGATGGGAGAACTCCAAGAAAAACCTAGGTACTGCAGGAAGTTATGTTGATTCAGTGTGTGGCAGCCTTCCCTCTGAAGCAGACCTGAGCCAATATACCAGAGTGGTTCTAGGGAATTCACTGGTTGCTGGAGGTGCTCTCTTTTGCATGAGAAGTAATACTGAGGCCTTGGCCATTTTTTTTGGTCAGTGAAGATCCTCAGGCATGTTTTTTTCAAGGCGATGTTCAGAGATGTTCTGCTTAGTGCCTTGATCAGATTCCAGTGATGCTGCCTGCTCTATTGATAACTTATGCAGATGGTTTTAATTTTCACTGTGTGTAGTGTTGCTGGCATGTTATCATGGTGGGTGAGCGATCTCGGATGATATAGTCTGTAAAGGTCTTTGGAATGTCTGAGGATGAAAAGTGCTATATGAATCTAGGTTCATGTTGTTGCTTGTTGCTGTGAATCATAGCAGGAATGTGAATTCCCCTGCTTGACCCTGGAGTGAAAGTGACTGTTGAAGTATTTTGTTATGTTAATAATAAGCAAAGTGATCTTAGAATGATGCTCATCACAATAATTTTATTGTATTAATAGTTCTTCAACATTTATTCTTGTGTGAATTAAAATTTGTCTTTATTAGATCTCTGCAGCTCATTTTAAAAACATGTGAAGGAGTGAGGTCTGTTAGCAGCAGCATCTTTGAAAATTCCATATATAGGACAATTTCTTTTCTTTCCTCTTGCCCTCCATGCACACACACACACACACACTCCTGAAAAACTGCACCACTTAACAAATGTAGCTAAGGATCTGGAGCCAGGAATTGTAATGCTTCCACATTGTGCTATCTCATCATCTGTCTGTCTATGTGCCCATATCACATTGCTATGTATGGTAGGGACCATAGTTGATCTGGGAACTGAAACATGCAATCATTTTACTGTTCCTTGGTGTGAAATCGATCAGCCTAGAGAACCGTCCCATGATTACTGAGACAATGTAGAAGTTTAAGTTCCTATAGTGTTGAGATCAGTCCTGCTCTAGTTGGGGGGCTGATTTTGCTCTCACTTACACCAATGTAAATCAGGAGCAATTCCACTGAAATCAAAGGAAGGGACAGTTTGCATGAATGAGAAGGGGCATGTTGCCTTGTACAGTAGTGGTGTGGGATGAGTTCCTCTTGTATGAAATGATGTGTAGGATCAGCCTCTGGGGTTAGGTGCCACAGAACTTGGGTGATCTGGATGACAGTCAGTTTCCATGGATACCAAGATTTGATAATTGAGATCAACAATGCCAAAATGTATCTGGCTCAAGATTTAGTTACTTCTAATTTGTTATCCCTATAAGCAGTCTTTTACTGTGATGAAATAAGGCAACTGCTAACAGGAGCCTGAAGAAATCTGCAAGTGGGACTCTGAGAGCCTTCTGTGGCTCTGTCAAATAAACATTTGGGAGGCATTTTTGAGGCATAAAAAATAAGGGGGAAAAAAACCACACAGAATTTCTGTTTAAATGCAGCATCCCAGAGGCTGTGCAAAATGTGCAGAACAAAAAAACAGAACTAGTCAACATTAGTGGGTTTTGGTATTTTGGGTTTTTTGTGAGTGGGGGTCATGTTTTGTAGCAAATTAGAAAGAGTCATTTTACCAGGAACTCAGAGCATATTATAATTTTTTTTTCACTTGGAAAGTGATCTGGGAAAGTGGGGGAATAATGAGTTTACGTTTATAAATAAAGATGGATTTGAAACAGGGAAGCCAACTTTTGAATTCCTGCATGCTTTCAATGCAAAACTGCCATTGTATCAGGAAAAAAGAAATACTAAAGGATGTGAAAAGTCCCCTGAAATAAAATGTAATTGTGTATGTGAGAGCGTGAGCAAACATTTCATGGAAAAACATACAGTGCACAATTGGCACCTCCCGCGTTACACATGTAATACTGGTCTCTTGCATGGAGTGCTGTTTGGGAATGACTAGGCGAATAAGGTGGAACAGTTATTTAGATATTTTAATGATGGGCTGTTCGTCTGCAATAGGTACAGCTGGCCCCAGGGTGAATTCATTATTATATTGTCTATAATTTTGTTCAGTAAAAAATATCTGTCAGGTGTCATTTTGGTGAAACTGTATCAGCAGTGCAGCTAACATATGTGTGTTCATTAAGTCTGGGGGTCGAGTGCTGCTCTCACTGGGCATGATTCTGCTCTCACTGACAGATGCTATTCAGGAGTAATTCCACTGAAGCTGATAGCAGTGGACTGGTGAACCCCTGTGTAAAATCAGAATCAGGCCCATTGACATCAGTGGGAGTTTTTCTATTGACTTCCAAGGCAGTTGAGCGGGGACTGTGCTTGCAGTTGCAGCCCCTGGGCATCCCACTCTATTTGAAAAAAATCTAGATTCTTAGATAATTATAGGCTTTGGCCTGCAACCCTACTTGCATAAGCAGAGATTCTAGGATTGAGCCTTGACGTCTTCTGCCGAACCATGTACTCCTTATTCAGACAAAATGCTCTTTGACTTGAAATCAAGAAATAATTTGCCTGAATAAGAAATAGGTTGGCTTCCTTGTACATATTTAATTTGTAAATACTACCTGTACAGTAAGTTTTCTGATTACTCGTGCTCACTTGTTTGGGACTTATTGCATGCTTTGTTGAGGAAATATGAAGCCAAATAAGCTGTCACACAGAATTATTGGGCGACACAAGCTATGTGAGACAATATCTTTTATTGGACCTTCTGCTGGTAGAAGGGACAAGCTTTTGAGCTCCACAGAGTTCTTTTGGCCTGGAAAAGGTAACCAGAGATAAAAACAAGGTGGGCCAGATTGTTAAGCATATGGTTGCAATAAACCACTGAAAATGAAGTGGGCAATTAATACTTCTGCAGTCAAGGACAAAAGAGGCTTAGTAGGTTACAAATTGTTGTAATGAGCCATAAAGCCAGTGTCTCTGCTGAGATCATGATTTTTAGTGTCAGGTTAGATGTGGATTGATAGATCAGTCCTTGTTCTCAAAGGTACAAGTGTTGACACTGTGACACTCTGGTTACATTTTCCAGGCCTGAAGAAGAGCTCTGTGAAGCTCAAAAACTTGTCTCTTCCATAAATAAGATATTAGCTCACCCACCTTATCTCTCTCATGTCCTGGGACCAACAAGGCTACAACCACATTGCAAACACAGAATTAATTGGTAATTTATATATTTATATTGAACTTTGTTTTCATGAAGCATATTTGACCTAGACTTTGCCATATTAGAAAATGGAAAAACACTTTTTTGTCTTTTAGTTTTATTCAGCCCCTTTGGGATCTGGTTTTGTGACATGTTAGGTCTCAGTCCTGCTCCTGGCAGATAAAAATATACAAAAATCACATCACCACAATTGGCAGTAATTTGTACCCTGTTGGCAGTGTCAGCAGAGAGGCCAAAGATTAAAGAGGCATGGAAACTGACCTACCGTCTCACCCCCACAGGTGACCCCATGTCAGGGTTCAGGTAGCAGTAGATTGGCAGGACAGTGTGGAGAAGTTTGCAGTGTCACTGTCCATCCTGTGCCTGTTCTGCGGATTTAAGCTTCCCGAGCTTAGCAAAAAACCAACAACCTACTATTCACCTAATACCAGATCACATCCATTTTATCAATATGCATTTTTTAATCCATGATTGCTCAGCTTCTGTAGTAATATCTATAGTCTTAAAGAGACCCTTCTTTTTCCAGAAGAATCGACTCCTTCACATAAAACCAACAGCCCACCCACTGGAGTTACATACCCTCATGATGATGTCTTGGACTATGGCCTCAAGCCATACAGCCCCCTGGCTTTTCCTAGTCTTTCTGCAGATCACATGGGCAGATATGGACAGCCAGATAGCATAGGGTCAAAATGCAACTTGGACCCTGTAAAGTCTGGGGCCTCTGCTTTGAGCCCTAGGATTGAGATCACTCCATCCCATGAACTGATTCATTCAGGGGTTCCCTTCCGCAGCAGAGACACAGATCTTTTGGTAGAACATCAGTCCAACTCAGCCACCGCTAGCCCAAGGTTTACACTGCCTGTCCCTGGCTTTGAGGGCTACAGAGAACCGCTGTGTTTGAGCCCAGCTAGCAGCGGCTCATCTGCAAGTTTCATTTCAGAGACAAATTTCTCTCCCTACACATCACCATGTGTTTCACCAAATAATGGTCCTAGTGATGACCTTTGTCCACAGTTTCAAAACATCCATACTCATTATTCCCCTAGAACCTCGCCAATAATGTCACCACGAACAAGCATCACGGAGGATACCTGCTTGGGACCACATTCACCATCACCCCGTCCCAACTCAAGGTCTTCATCGCCAGGTGCAAAACGGAGGTACTCTTGCACTGAGCTCTGCAACTCTCAGCCGCCTTCCACTTCTCCACGACAGTCAAGAACCCCTTCTCCACAAGCCTCTCCTCACATCCCTTTGAGAGAAGACAGCACTTTGCTCACTTACACCCAGTTGCCCAGCTCTTCTAGTCTCATGGATGCTATGAACAACCTTAGCACGGATCCTCCCTGTGGTGTTCCCATGAAAATTTGGAAAACCAGCCCTGATCCCCCATCAGTGCCTTCACACAAAAACAGCATTCCATGCCACGTCTTTCAGACCGTTGATTACCTTGGGCCTTGTGATCAGGAAGACAGGAGAAACTCAGCACCTGAATCCATTTTGTTAGTACCTCCATCTTGGCCAAAGCAGCTGGTGCCTGCAATACCCATCTGCAGGTATGTTGAACTTTTCACATTTTTGTATTTTTCACTTGCTAGGTTTATTCCTTGACTTTCATCAAATTCTTCACAGCTATGCTGCATTACTGTAAAGAGTCATATAAACAGATCGACTTTACCAGTGGAGGCACTGTATGTAATTTATTCAGCACCACTGGCACGCTTCAAAGACGAATACCGTTTCCCTCCCAAGACGTTTACAGGATAAGGCCCCCAGTCCTGCAGTATGATTCACCAGTGTTGGTCCTTGTGTGAGGTTCCTTTGCCTCAGATCATGCTGTAGGACTGGTGTCTCAGTATGCGGCGATGTATTTGGAAATTATGGATTCAATCCTTTGTGGTATCGAATGCTCTCAAGTCTCACTGATGTGATTCCAGTGGGAACTGAAGCTACTCAGCATCCCACAGATTTGGACCCTGTGTGATTTAACACATTATCCTCTAGTAACCACCAATCTACTGCGAAAATATAGAGGACATTAAATTCTATGGGTTGCCTGATCAGAGGAGTCTTTGCTGAAGTTTATCTCAATGAGGTAATCGTTGGTTAAGATCCATTGCCAGCACTGAACATATTTTCTCTTACCGTAATTTTATAATATTAGATTCTCCTGTACTTTAATAACCGGGAAATGCAGTATCTGGTAAGAAATGTTAGCATTTTATTGATGTTTTTTGTGCATTATTATCCTTGTTTTCATGTGTATTATACATCACTTTTTATATAAACAAAACAAAAAAAAAACACAGTTTACACAACTGTTAAGTAAGTGAAAATTTATTATTTCACAAAAAGAACAGGAGAACTTGTGGCACCTTAGAGACTAACAAATTTATTTGAGCATAAGCTTTCGTGGGCTACAGCCCACTTCACCGGATGCAAAGAATGGAATATATAGTAAGAAGATATATATATATATATATATATATATATATATATATATATATATATATATATACAGGTTTCAGAGTAACAGCCGTGTTAGTCTGTATTCGCAAAAAGAAAAGGAGTACTTGTGGCACCTTAGAGACTAACCAATTTATTTGAGCATGAGCTTTCGTGAGCTACAGCTCACTTCATCGGATGCATACTGTGGAAACTGCAGAAGACATTGTATATACACAGAGACCATGAAACAATACCTCCTCCCACCCCACTCTGCTATTACCAGCAGGAGAGTGGGGTGGGAGGAGGTATTGTTTCATGGTCTCTGTGTATATAATGTCTTCTGCAGTTTCCACAGTATGCATCCGATGAAGTGAGCTGTAGCTCACGAAAGCTCATGCTCAAATAAATTGGTTAGTCTCTAAGGTGCCACAAGTACTCCTTTTCTTTTTGCATATATATATACATGCAGCAAAGGTGGAAGTTGCCATACAAACTGTGAGAGGCTAATTAGTTAAGATGAGCTATTATCAGCAGGAGAAAAAAAACTTTTGTAGTGATAATCAAGATGGCCCATTTAGACAGTTGACAAGAGGTGTGAGGATACTTAACTTAGGGAAATAGATTCAATATGTGTAATGACCCAGCCACTCCCAGTCTCTGTTCAAACCCAAGGTAATGGTATCTAGTTTGCATATTAATTCAAGCTCAGCAGTTTCTCCTTGGAGTCTGTTTTTGAAGCTTTTCTGTTGAAAAATTGCCACCTTTAAATCTTTTACTGAGTGGCCAGAGAGGTTGAAGTGTTCTCCTACTGAAGCTTATGCTCTGATAAATTTGTTAGTCTCTAAGGTGTCACAAGTACTCTTGTTCTTTTTGCGGATACAGACTAACACGGCTGCTATTCTGAAACCTGTCATTATTTCACAGTGAATGAGCAAAATCTAAGGTGCATGGCAAAGATCAGATATAAGTGCACACTTGCCATTAAACTATTTTATTAGTAAGCTACCGTGTCTCTGCTTAGAGTGTGATTTACAGAAAGATTTGCTAATCCTGGATTTTGGTGGCATTTATAATTAAGAATACAAGGTAAAGTCCTGACCCCATTGAAGTTAATGGAAAAATTCCCAATGACTTCAGTGGGGCCAGGAGTTCACCCACAGCACCTTAGCCCTAGGGAGGGGAAGTGTTTACAAGTACTTTTATGAGTGCCTACTGTGACCGGTGCCTAAAATGGATCACAACTGAAAGGGCCACACACAGGGCAGACGGCAAGAAACAGGGGAGACACCCCCCCAAAACTGGTGATTTATTCTATGATTAGATTTACCAGACCAGTAACAAAATGAGCTTTCGTAGTACCACCCTGGGTAACAAGAAGCCAAAACATAGTCCCCATTAGGCATTCGAGCCCCCAGTTCACCATCCAGACAACTGCCTTTATGATGAGAGGTTACTGAAAACCCAATTCACCATACATGAGGTTCTACCATTCCCAAAGGATCAGACACTTACCCCCAGGTCAATAGATATTTTAGATCTAACCCAAATATCATGTTGTCAGCCAATCCTCAGTAAACTAAAGATTTATTAATAATAAAAAAGAAAAGAAGAGCGTTATTAAATGGTGAAAAGGATCATATACATTACAAATGATTGCACAGTTCTTAGATCAGAGTTGTAGCCATGATGGTGAATCTGCTGGCGTGTACACAAGTCTCTCAGGAATCATCCCAAAAGGTTAGATCCCAAAAGGCAGCTTAGATGTAGAGTCTGTGAGAGCCTTTCCATGCATTTTCCAGGGTATTCCAAGTAACTACTTGGAGATCTCAGTCCCCTGGCTTAAACTTTCCCTGTTAAAAGTTCAGCAGACTAGATATGGCAGGATCAGGCCTGAGCTTTCTCTTTTATAACTGAAACAGGCTGTCTAGTGTGATGAGTGCAGCATGTGACTGCGGATTCTTCTTTGTTGAGTACACACTGACCCATCACTTGGAAATTAACATTCTATTTCTTAAGCATACACAGGTAACCCAATTACACTGATTTACATAAGGCAACTGCCTGTCATTCATTATTACAGGGGTAGATAAGATGAAGACAATACATGTAATATTATTAGTTTTATGTAGTGTCTCACATCTTTGATTTTAATGTTGACTGAACACATTTGCATACACAGTGTAAAGGCAATTAAGACATGAAAGGGACTTAGCATCTACAAGCTGATTTGGTTACATTGGAAACTTCTACAGGATGTAGGTATACAGTCAAATACATTTAAGTATCTCCCTTGATTCCTTTTACTAAAGATGAATGGGTTAGTGATTGCTGATCTACTTACCTCTCTTTGATATTCACACACAAGTGAATTGTCCTGATTGCAACTGCAATGCCTCTTGTTAAGTTTCAGAGTTAAGTTGTTATGGGTTAGTTGATTAAGTTGCCAGCATCACACCTACATCTCATAGAGTTTTTCAAACTGCCTGATCTTTTCCTGTCCAGCGTACCTGTTGCATCCCTCCCACCTCTTGAGTGGCCACTCTCCAATCAGTCTGGCTCTTATGAATTGCGCATTGAAGTGCAGCCAAAACCTCACCATCGGGCACACTATGAGACAGAGGGGAGTCGAGGGGCAGTCAAAGCACCAACGGGGGGCCATCCTGTGGTCCAGGTAAGAGATTTTAGAATTAATGAAATGTGCAGATGGTTGGGGAGTGGGAAGTAGGGAAGCATGTTAATTCATTTTTTATGGAGATAGCCCTATGGGGGGGACAGTTGCAAACATAAATGCAAAGCAGCAACATGTTTGCACTCACCACCATGTGTGAAGTCTCTGAAGTTGAGCAATGGTGAACTTCAAAAAGTTTGGAGATTTCTTTGTGAAAACCTCATAGGCCAAAAAGAAAAGGAGTACTTGTGGCACCTTAGAGACTAACCAATTTATCTGAGCATAAGCTTTCGTGAGCTACAGCTCACTTCATCGGATGCATACTGTGGAAAATACATCCGATGAAGTGAGCTGTAGCTCACGAAAGTTTATGCTCAAATAAATTGGTTAGTCTCTAAGGTGCCACAAGTACTCCTTTTCTTTTTGTGAATACAGACTAACACAGCTGTTACTCTGAAACCTGTCAGAGGCCAAAGTTTATGCCAACTTTTCTGGATTAGAAATCACATTAGAACTCTCCTCTCTCTCTGTCATGAGATGTCCAACAATTCCTACTTCCAACTGAGCCAGTTTAACTCTCAAAACAGGCTCTTTTTGTTTCATCTCAGGCCTTTTGTGATAGTTATTATTTTGTGAAATAAATACCGACCCCATTTTTCAATCTCAAAAATCAGTTCAAGGTTGGGTTCACGCTGGGGTTTCCAGTGAATGTTCACAGCAGATCTCAATGTCTCTGAGCCACTTTGCCTTTCTCTCTCACTGGATTACATGGGCTATGCAGATTACATTCCTGCCAACTAGAGGGTGCCAAGCATACTTCTGAATGCATCTAACCCAGAGAGTCTTTTTATGCCAGATAATAAATGCTAAGGGCTCATCCAGCTTCCAGTACAGTGAAAGAACAGACAGCAACCACTCCCTTTCACTTTAATGAGAGTTGGATTGGGGCAGTGTGTACATTCAGCTACAGTTTCCAAAGAGTTAATAATACACTCCCCGTAACTCATGTGAGTTAATTTAAGACAGAACTGGATGATCCTCTGGGGGTGAGGGTTGAGGTTTTGCAAACCACTTAAAACTATTTTTTAAAATTAATTTTCCAAACTAGTTTGAGTTCCCAAATCTTTTTTGCCCTGTAATGTAAACTCTTCCCTGCCCTGATCTGTGATTAAAAGACTTTTAAAACCTCTTGCTTACATCATTATAACTCCTTGGGTCTCATCCATGCAAAGGAGAGGAGAAGCTGGCCTCATGTTTTTCTACCTAAAGAGAAGCCTGTGCTATATAGAGGGGTTGCAAGACCCCCCACTCTCCCAAAAAAGCTTGACTAACACAGGCTGGTGTCCTGTATACGGCACTATACACACTAGGCTTCCTTTTTCCATTACTTTTTAGAATTTCTCTCTTGCTTGTTCATTTTTTTCATAATCTCTCTGTTTGCTTTTCCCTTTGCTCCTCTCTCTTTTCAACTATTTCACCCTATTTTCTTCTATTTAATTTTCTTCTGTCTCTGCCTTCCTTTTACAAAGTCTCTCCTAGGTGGATAGCAAACCCTACTATCAGTTGAGCAGTGGGTTTGAAATTAGCCGGGACAAATTAATTTCTCCCTAGTTTAATCCCTCAGCATATGCATTTTAATGTTTTGCCTGGGATATATTTAATTCACTGAGCAGATGCTGAATCATGTCTTTATTTAATACTTTGCAAGCAGTTCCAGTTGTCATCTGTTGTAACAATTCCTTTTTTCCTTTTCCTGGATTATATGACCCCAATAGGAAATACATACACCAGCAACAGTTGGGGTGTGATACAGGGACAGGGGGACAATTTAAGTACACAGTCCTGGGACTGGTTTCAAGGAGAAGTTTGATCGCCTGCTATAAAGTTGTAAATAGAGAGAAGACATGTTTATTGGGTGCATTAGTCTGTAGAGAAAGGGTAAGTGAGTTTAGGGCAGGACCTCACTTGTGAATTGGGATGGTGTAATCACAGAAACAGTGGGATTTTTTTATACAATTTATGGTTGTATTCTGCTCTGAGTTACACAAATTCTGCTCTGAGTTACACTGGTGTAAATGCACTGAAATCAATGGAAGAACTTCACATTTATACTGGTCTAAATGAGGACTTAGCATCTACAAGCTAATTTGGCTCTATGATATATGACCAGTCAGCACTTATTCATTTGCTTACAGGTTGGTATCATTTACCTTCCCAAGATAATGCCCACCAGTAAGATGTTTATCACAGTGAAGGAGATTCTTATGACATGAAGGGATAGAGGTGGGGGAAAATAACAGTGCTTCACTTCTTTCCTCTAATCGATAGCAGTCAAGGAGGGATTTACATTTCCTGGTGGAGACAGGAACAGATATTCCTAATTTTATCATAATTTTACAGTCAGACTTAAGGTTACTGAACTGTAAATTCAAAAAATGAATGTTATACTCTCCTAAACAGATGTGCTTCTGAACAGATGTGCATGTATATGGAGAAAATATGGTCAGTTTCTTTATGAGGATTTATTATAAACTTGGAAATATTCACTGGATTTCAGTTCAGTCTAACATAATAAGGTTCATATGGGTACAGAGCAATATGACAGAGTTACACCTGTATGGTTTATGACATCTGAAACCAGAGCAGGCTAGTAAAATCCAAAGCTTTTAGGTAATAAAATTTGCTTGGTGCTGATTTTTATTTCTATCCCTCAGTACCTTTCAACTTTTGTATTCACTCCTTTTTAGTTTAAATTGTACAGAAGTGAAAGAAATAAAGCAGGCGAGTGGTGGTGGTGGTTGTTATGATTATAAGCAGTAAAGACTGTATTGCTGAAAATATACAGGAGCCTTTTAGCAAGTGGCTGGGAATGGTCTATTAACTAATGAAAATTAATGTTCAGCAAGTTCTTTTCCTTTTAAGACTCAAAATAGGAAGCTGATGCTGCCTGCACAGTGTTGATGGGGCTGCAGTTGTCCAGCAGTCAGATAACTTGAAACTACAGACTCACAACCACCTATGTTTGTCAGATCATAAAGCATGTCGTTGGGTTTCCTTGGAAGGTTTTCGCTAGCGCCTCCCTGTACTAGCTTTTCTAAGTCTGATCCTGTATAGTTCTCGTTATTGCTGTCCAAATGGTGTTTATCTACAATGTGCCAAACTCACCCCTCCTGTAGGAACTCCATTGTTTCCAGCAGAGTTACACGAGGGATGAATTTGTCCCATTCATCCTATTTGATTCCACCGTTAATGTCTATGGAAGCTGATTCCACCATTTCAACTACCCTCTCTCTGAAATAATCCCTCTTTTAAAAATCCTTCTGACATAGGTTGAGAGAGATCATGTGTGTGCCTGCATTATCCCACAAATTCTTTGTAAGGAGAAAAATTTCCCTCTATTATATTGATTAATTTTTATGGCATGGTGTTGGCCTACATTTTTTCCCCCTTAAATCTGTGTTTTGCATGCAAGCTGCTGTTTTGGGGGTTTTTTTATGAGCCGGCAGATCTCATATCCTTTCAGCTTTATCTTGCGGTTGATCATTCTGAGGCTGCTTCCTCTTCTTCATGTGTTCAGTGCGGAACGTTTGGAGTGCTGCACCGGGGAGCCTGCACTACGGCCGTGCTCCCAAGAGTGGCAGAACAATGAACCGCTTGTTAAGGCTAGAGCCACTGACAGGACAAGCCATATTGAACTAGGGCAGTGGTTTTCAACCTTTTTTCATTTGCAGACCCCTACAAAATTTCAAAAGGAGGTGCGGACTCCTTTGGAAATCTTAGACATAGACTGCAGATCCCTAGGGGTCTGCGGACCACAGGTTGAAAACCACTGATCTGGGACATTTGCTTTTGTGTTTTACATTGCGTTAGATCTCTAACAACAGCAACAGGAGCCTGTGTGTCAGGAAAAAACAAATGGTGCTAACATGACGCTATATTCTTATTGGTTTGGCATGGTCACTGATTTGCAAAGAGGAAGTTGCAGACACCTTCAGTTTCCTCCTTGCAAGCTCCCATCAGGCTTACTGGCATTGGAAGGCCAAGAAATGGGGTGGGGGAGGATAGTATTTTACATTACATAGCCCCAGTCTAGAGACCCCACCCAAGATCAGGCCTCTGGTTATGCTAGATGCCGTCCAGACACAAAGTAAGAGATAGTCCCTGCCATGAAGAGCTTACAGTATAAATAGACAAGACAGAGAAAAGGTGGCAGAGAGTGGAAATATTATTACCCCCATTTTACAGATTGGGAAATGAGGTTAAAACAGACATAAATGACTTGCCCAAGCATGACACAGGGATCAAGACCTGAACCTTGATCTGCTCAAGCTCCTCTGAAAACCCACCCCCACCTGAGTGGCTAACAATGCTGAAGTACTGACATTGCTTAATTCAGAGTTGCCTGAGGGAACTGGGTGTGCAGTAGGATTGGAGTGTGAGTACTGCTAGCTGGGCCTCTCTTTTTTTCCTAGCGCCCACAGGAAACTGTTGAAATCCTATATTTGTATGTGTGAAAACTGAGTCAGGAAAAAAAAGGGAGGTGAACCCAGGCAAAGAGATTTTCTTTGTATTCAGTAAAGAGGTTGTATCTGTTTGATTAAGAATGTTTTGCGCAGGAAATACCTCTTCAGTTCAAAAATTAGAAGTTAAATGAAGGTGAAATTCACCTTGGACCAGCCCAAGAGCCTATGGACAACCTCAGTCCCATTAAGTCCTATTTTGAGGACTTAGATAGAGTTTAAGCAGCCCCTTGGCTTTGTGCCAAATTGTCTTTGCAGAAGGCTGAATTTATTTGAAAAGTTAAAACAGTTTTACTTTTTGACTCAATATGACATCCTAAACAGTTGTGTAATGTTTCTGTGAGCGGTTAAACAGGCACCCTGCTCTTCCCCAGAGGTGACTGCCTTTTAGTAATGGGCAAAAGGACAGATTTTTAACCAAGTTAGGCATGTTATGTTGCAGTTAATTTCTGCAAAGATTGCACATATAATTTGGATAATTGT